AAGTTTTTAATGGTAGATTTCATTCGAGTGAAAGAAAAACAATGGTGTGTTTAATTTATTGAGGGCTTATCAAATATATTCTTTATTTTAAAACTTTCCTTTTCACATAGAAAATATAAATACTTCGGACAAATATTACAATTTCACGTACAGAAATGCATCAGTTTATTCAGTAATAATTTACAAACATTACAAATGCATTCAATTTATATTAAGAAATATGGCTAAGCTTAACGAAAATCCCATAAGATTTTTTGGAACGCATATGGTCGAACGGAGATTAACAAATAATATTAATAAACTTGGCACTTTTTTTTTAATTTTAGAAAAGAAAAATTACATATTTATTTTTTAAAAAAATCAGTAATCAAACACTTCGAAGTTTTTCAAAACAAAACCCAAGACATGATTTGTTACTTAAAATGTTACGTTTAGTTTTGCAAGAAATGCTATGAAATGTAGCTTGTTTAAAGTTACTTAACAAGCAAATAACATTCAATGAACGCAAAGCTTTTAAAAGCAATTAAAATATTTTTTTTAATTTAATAGAGGCAAAAAATGTGGAAGAGAGATTTTATAAGAATGCATGTATTCAACGAATGAGAAAACTTTTAATAAGGAATTGTATTACTTTATTCGAGTCGATAAAATGCAGAATAGAAGTATTTTAAACGATTCAATATAAAAACAAGACTGAGAAAATCTATTTTATTAAAAGGCTTTAAACATCAAGGAATTAACAAGCATATAACTAAATCCTTGTTATTTGATCGAGATTCAAAATTAGGAGGTCTATCACCAAAAGTTGTTACAAAAAGTGCGATGTTAATAAAGCAAAATCTAATTTTTCAGTCGGTAAAAAATACTCAATGTCAAATATTGTTTAAACTATAGTCCGTCGTTGAGTTTCAAAAATTGTTTTCATATATTATTGTAATTCGATCATGTTCTTATTTTATTCTGATCAAAAGCTAATTTACTTCAATTTTCAATCGCCTTTTTTTAGATATATATCTAATTAATTTAAAGCACAAGCAAACACCACTATGTTGACTTATTATACAGAAATTTTAATCAAATTTGTTACATAATTATCTGTTTACAGGACACAATACATTTTTCCTTTATTTATTGCACCATACTTTGAGTTTTCACACATTCGTGCTTAAAAAAATCATATATTCTAAAAATGCTATAATTTTTTCTAAAACTGTTAACGATACGTTTCTTAAAATAAAATTTGTTTTATGTTATTATTATACCTAAGTGAAAAATCTTTGCATTTTACAACGTACCCCAATACTATACTTATACAAACGCTTCCAACTCTTTAGAAAAGTTGATAATAGAATTTATTACAAGGCGGGACCATGTAATTAAGCTTTCTAGACAGAAGACGACAGAGATTTAAAAATAATAAGTATTAGCCAAACACTTTTACACCGCATTTTCTTTACTAAATCAACAGAACCGCGAATTCCCCTTCCCGCGGGTTGTAAAAAGAATTTTCTTTCGTTCAAAGACTAGCACAAAAATTAGCTAGCTAGCTTATTATTTTTCCTTCTTGTTTGCCTTAGGGCTTCGGATACAATTCAAAACTAACTTTCGATGAAAGTGTGTAGAAGAAACTCAAAAAAAAAAAAAAAAAGTTGTCTGAAAGGTTTTCTTTAAAATAGAATTCCCGCCGTGTGAGCACTAATAATGAGTTAAAATGTTTCCAGACTTCGGATCGGGGTTCGCGAGGGATGCATAATTTCTTATTTATTTATTTTTTTATTTAAATGTCAAGGAAATGTTACAGGGGAAAGAGAGTTGTTAACAAAAAAAACAACAAAAAAAAAAAGATCCATTATAAATTTCTTGATTTAGATTTAAAAATATTTCTTTTGACAAATGCGTATATGTATAGTAACAAAGTAAGTTTAAAATAAATCTTACTCTATATATTTCTGTTTTTCAGTTCTTATATTACTTAAAATAATTTTTAAGTAAATATTTTTCGCTTAATTATGTCAAAAGGCATATAGTATTATTAATATTTTTAGCTTTAGAAAATCAAAAAAAAAAAGTTTTGGGTCCATATTTAGTAAAATTTTCCAAATTTCGCACGATTTTAACGATGTTTAAGATGCTCAGAATCACAAATATCACAAAAGTTTTATAAGTGATAATAGTGTACTGATACATGAAAAGAGGGAACTTGAAACAAATATTTCTAACAAGGCGTAAAATTTAGCAATACTTGATTTTAGTCTTATTGCTGTCAGACTCCCAAATAAACATGTTTCAGTATAATAAGCACCAATATAAGGGAAAATTGTTTGGTTTTTAAATTTCGACAAACTTCGATCAATTTTTCATTGCTATTAATAAAAAAATTAATAGTAATAAGAAATTATTTCGAAAGTGTTTTCTTTTTGTTTTATATTAACATGTAGTTATATTCGCTTATATTTTTTTGTTCAGTTGAACAAAGAATGGTCTATTGCAGCCAAAATTTGTAATTTTAAATCATGTTTTAATGACAAAGGCGAAATTTTGTCCCCACCCAAACTTCCACAACATTCCACATAAATAATAAGGCATTCCATTCGAACACCTACTTGCGAATAGATTCTTTATAAACACTGTTTCTTACCATTTGCCTAGCTTAATATTAAGTAAAAGGCTGCAAAATTAATAGCAACATTTATATAAGCCCAATATTAACATAAGCTCGTGTGGCAACAATACCGCTATCATTCTTTTTGTATTCTTCAAATTTAAAGATATTCTATAAATATTCTTGGTGTAACAAAGAAAAACTAGGTTCGGATTGCTATATATGACGAAATATAGATCTCAATTCCACGCAGGAAAAAATAATTTATTCATTCATTTTGTAATGTAAGTATATAATGAAGTGTGGGGGTTTCTTATATGCAATTGAAATCAGAATTTTATTTTTGTTTTGGACCATTTTATTATTTGTGCAAGCACACACACACACACATTTCGAGTTTCAGTCTCACTTTGCAGTATTAGATGATGATACCTTTAAATGCATTAATTTCACAATAGACTAAACACAAAATGTGAAAAAATAGAGAGCTACGTGAAAATAAATTATTTCATAAGATATAAAATGAAAAATAACTTGCTAGATTTTTGGTTTGAAATCTGGTATAACTTGGAGTAGAACTTAAATTATTGAAATGTAAGAATAACGACTTTTTATCATTAAAACGTTAAAACGCAACGCAAGGTTTTTTTTAAAAAAATTTCTAGTTTATTCAACTTTTAATCCATTGCTTTTAATCAGTGCTTAAAAATAAAATAATATGAAAATGATAATGGAGTTCCCTACAAATTAAATTATTTGAATAGTCACAAAAAATATCTCATACTTATTCAATAAACTATATCATTACTATAAAAACTGAAAATATAATCTGAAATTTACTTCTGTACATAAAGATCCAATAAAATCCATATATATGTAAAAACTTTTTTGTTGAAAATAACATAAAATATAATAAACATAGTTTTTTAATTAAACAGTTAATTAAGAATTTTAACCAAAAAAAATTCAACTAAGTCTTCCGCATTATTTTTAGACACTCTTCCATCTAAGACATACATAAAAAAGTATCTGCAGCATTTACATTTGAAAAATGCTTCTCCCAAAGAAACCCTTACAAAAACTGTCGAAAAACAATTGATATCATTGAAGAGCTCTGCTCTTAACGTATTCATTACCACGCAACTTTTATTTTTTAAAAGATCTTTCGTTGTCTTTCCTTTTTTATGCATCACGAAAGTTATCCATATTAATGATTCCTCCGAAAATACCTCATTACAAACATAATGATTTCGTTTCCTTAGAGAAAAATAATTGCTCTCCAAGATTCAAAATCAAACAAAGCAAGCCGCCGAGCAAACAGATGCTTGTACATGACAAAAGCGAATCAAGTCCATAAGCAATGCATAATGATTCATTTTGAAATTCATCGAGCACTGATTCTAATTCCCTTATTCAATTGCGAAGAAGTTAATCTACACTGTAATAATCGAGTTTCTTCCGATTTCTTTTTCACTTTTTTCTCTTTTTTAGTTGTTGTTTCCTCAGATCGAAATTTGAAATTTCCACTTGAATGATTTACTAACTCATATTGAAAATGAATGCTTAAATGGAAGCCAATATTTTATAATTTTTAATTAGGAATCATTCGTTTTTTCTTTTATATCGTTCGAAAAATAATTATTTTATTTGCAAGATGATAAATTCGACGAATTTGTTTTTTTATTTAACTAGTTCAATAGCTTTTTTTCTTGTAGAAAAAGGTGACTTTTACATTTTTACGAGGTAATTAGAATTCACAATCTACGAGTATGAATCAAAATTGAATTGATACAAAAAATTAAATATATATATATATATATATATATATTTAAAAATAAATAAAATTGTTTTTCTACTTCGGTAGTAGCATTAAATTCTATTTCAAAGTATGCTCTATTCAAAGTAACAAGAAATTATGAATTATGTATCAAATATGGAAGATAAACACTTAAACAAAAATATTGATGCTTTCGTTATTCGAGTTATATTTTATTTTTATGAATAAATTCTGCTCGAGATGCTTTATAAAATAAAAATAATTGAATATAGTATATTTTTTTATTTGCTCTAGGGTAAATTAGGAATTCGAAAATAATTTGTTTGCCTTTATTCAAGCAAGTAATATAAAAAAAAATTAAGTCAATTCCTGCTTAGGTCAACAAAGTAACATTTTATTTTAGCTACTTTTTATTAAAAAGTTACAATTATTATAAACATGTATATACATGTAACAGAATCACAATATTAAGAGACAAAATAGAAAGCGATTTTCCTTGCAATTTTCCCATATATTTATGGTTTTGGACTATTTTTTGTTTTGTATACTTTACTATTTATTCATTAATTAAATTTAATTATTCTAATAAAATAGTACAGTAAAGAAAATCTCAGAAATTAGGCCATCTCTGGTGGGATTCGAACCCACGACCTTTGGATAAGAAGTCCAACGCGCTATCCATTGCGCTACAATTGGGAGAGAGTAAGTTAATAGCAGGAATTGAAAAACATTTTCACGGCATCTATTTCGTGAATGCAGCATCTTTAAATTCATTTCTCTAAACTCCTAATGTAAAATATAGAGTTAAGGATTTTCTTTCAGGGATGTACAGTCTGTTCAAAATTATAAGAAACATCTTACAAAATTCCACCATTTCTTAACAGAGACAACATTAATACCAATTTTAAAGGTCTACGAAATAAAACAATTTTGTGGTGTTAATTTTGCTTTGAAAAGGAAAATAAATCGAATATCTTTTTCGTCGCAAATTTAAAATTTTTTTCGATATATACAAATTTATTTATTATATGCTAAAAACAGTTCTAATGAAAATAGAAAAAATTTACATATTGTTATAAAACCGATCATGTTTCTAGTAAAGATATTGAAGAGAGTTATTTTAGTACTTATAAAAACATTGAGGGGTGTTCTTTTCAATTTATTAAATGTAAAATTTTTAAGCTAATGTATGATGTTAGAGAACCTGAGATTTCAAAGCACTGCTATTCCAGTTACGCTGTATGACAATATATATATAGTGGTAGCTGCTTACGTGATCTTATAAAAAGGAATAATGTTCTTTTAGAGTTAATTTTGTCCTAATCAAAAATAAAATAGAAGAATAACGAGAAATTAAAACAGAATTAAAGCTATTGAAGTATTTTTCATAAAACAAATCAAGTTCAAAAGTTGAATTTTAAAAATTCATACATTTAACTAAACTTACTTTAATATTTTATTGTATAATTTGGAATTAATTTAATATTTTAATATTTAACAAGCTATATTGTCGTTGTTGTTGCTAACACTCCAGGGTCTGACGAAGTCAGTCCATATCAATTAAATCGTTGACTCTCAAAAAGTCGAACACAAGAAGGGGATTAGGGAAGCTATATTAACTAAACTAAATAAAGTTTAATCATCAATTGCAATGTGTGCTCAAATTCTCGTATATTTCATGGGTAATATTTCTTACCGAGATATGTGGGCTTAATAATTGATCTAGAGCAGGGGTGGCGAACCTTTATGGACCAACGTGCCATTTTTTCTGAGAAAGTGCTTAATGAGGTATAGGCGTACCGTCAAATAATTTTGACTTGTGATTATCGGAAAAATAATAAAACTAAATACTAAGAACAGAAAACTCTTTATTTACTACGCACTGTATAGTTGTAAATGTTTTAGAGTAATACGTGTTATTCAAATTAAAGTTACATTAGTGGGAGTTCTGTTGTTGCAGATTGGATGACAAATCACTTATATTTGGATTGTAAGATGCTACTTTTAGTAGAATGCATGTTTAATTGGAGTCATCTGCCAATCGGATTTTAAGCAATTAATTATTTTTGCTATGGTTCACTTTTTTGACAAGGGGATTTGCTATTTGTTTCAAAATGCCGTTTTACAGACGATGTTCTGCACACCACTATTCCAGAGCATAAAACACACACCGCTTTGTCGCCCCTTTACTAATAATGCCATACTTCTAGATTCACCAAATTTGAAATTCTCTTTTACACTTACTATCTAGCCCTTTTTATTCCTTTGCTGAACTAGCCATGTTAAATAACACTTAAAAATCGCAAATATAACACAAATAAACTTTAAAATACAGTTGAGGCAGTGAAATTGATTATGCTATGCGTAGAAAAACTTTACATCATAAGCAATTGTAGACCACGATGTGTAACTAAGGCAAGACAATAACAAACGAGTGTGCTCCCACCGCACCGCGACCGATCACTCGCGTTTATTCGTAACATTTCATAGTGAACTTTTATTCTGAAATAAAATGCTAACCATTTTGATCGCTGGCGTGTCCAAAATATTGTGTCGCGTGCCATTCATGGCACGCGTGCCAGTGGTTCGCCATCCCTGATCTAGAGAATATATCTCAAGTTTTCGCCATCATTCAGTTTCAGACGTAGTGCTTCTCACATCCTAAATACTTTCATAATTATTTTGGTCTTAAATTATTGTAATAAAAGAACTTCAAAAACTTTTTTATAAAATCTGCATAAAATTCAATGTCCTCTCGAGTTACTGCGAGTTTATCATATAAAAAAAAATTTTCAGGAAATTTTCTTTATGCAGTTGCTACCAAGTGCACAATAAAAAGGTATTTAGCCTGAATTCATTATTTTAAGTTTGTCTTCATTCTAGATTTTCCAATTTTGATTATAATACCACAATCGGGGTATTAAAACTAAACCTTCAGAATAGTAAAAGATGTGACACATTGCCCTTCAACGAATTCTATATGAATCAATGGATCCAGTGTTAAAATAGGAAGCTTAACAATATAATAGGAATTGTATGTTCTCTGAGTTTTATATCAAGTGAATACAAACGTGAACCATGTAAAACTACGAAAAGGGTCTTAAAATCGTTTCACTGTTTATCCAAGTGTTTTTTTAGTACTACGGAAAGTGCAAAAGAAAGTTCCAATTTTGATTTCGTCATGTGAACAGAATTTTGATAATGGCTAACTTTGGTGCAACAAGTTATTTCTTGTAATTCTTGAAAGTCCTTCTTTTGTATATTCAAACATAGTCTTTCTTACATAGAGTAAATTAATAGTAAATTTTAAACTTCAAAATAAACTGCCGGTTGTATGTTTAAATTAGAGAAGCGAATATATGATAATTTATAAAATCTGATTATAAAAAAATGTGTTAAATAAAGTTTTTATACCATTGTTAACTAGAAATATAAATCAAGAGATATTCCTCGATTATCATCAGTTTAATAATACATAAATTTCACATTTTTTAAAATATATATATAAATAAGCGGTTTTTTAGGGCTGGTAGAATAGATTAAATACAGTAATTCAGATACATTAAGCGCAAAAATTAAAGTTTTGATCTTTAAAAGTTCTTGGTTTTGAAATTTCTGAGCATTTGAAAATATTACTTTTGTACATTTAAAGGTCATATTTCTTCACGTTTAAGTCAACCGTGCAATATTTTCATAAATGAAGTTTGAAATAAATGTAAGTGAATAATTATCTTGTACAAAACATTCCAAAAAAATTATTGTATTTGCTTCAAACTGAAATCTCAAAATATAAAAAAGGTATTATAAAGTAGTTAAATAAGTATCCCAAATTTAACTCTAAGTAAAAGATTCTATTTAAAAATGATTACAATACTTTAGATGTTAATTATTTCTTTATTCAGTGCTTAACATATTAAACAAAAAATTATGATTTTAATTTCAGCAAGAAAAAGGAACACAGATCTTCACTGTATAGTACTAATCTATAAACAATTGGTACGTAACCACAATGAAATCATTCATTTTCTTTCTTGTCTTCATTATTTAAATCGATGTTGAAGTATCATCTTAAGTCTTCTCGAAACTGAATGTAACAATTTATTTTTAAAAAATTAACTTAGATTCTATAAATTCAATGTGAAATATATATCTTAGATCATATCAATGTTGCAAATAAATACAGTAGAAATTTCTTAGTCATGCATATGCAAGCTAAATATTATTGAAAAAGTTTATATATTATATCCTCCACTCCCTTTAAGAGAGGAAAAATATCAGTCGATACTTTTGATTTCATTATTCGAGTACGTTACGTAATGCCTTCAATACCTTTAAGAAGCAGTTAATATTTAAATTCAACTGAAAAATGCTAAATTATACTATATGGAGAAAATGTGTTTTAAAGTAAAAAGTTACTCGTTTAGACTGCAGTAATTTATTCTGGGATATTACCAGCAAATTTATTCCTGTTAAAAATCGTTAGTGAAAAAAATGATGCGTTAGAAAGCTTATTAATCCAAGCTAAGTCCTATTTAGTTAAATAAAATAATGCAAATTGCTTCCCACTTCTATTTGATATTCATTTAGTTTATAATAAGAAGTCTCAGTATTTAATAGATTGTATCCGATTCTTTTAAACACCATTTACTGCTACTTATCATTACAGTTTTCAATGCACTCTTTTGGTAAGAAAAATGTGCATAGTTAAAAAAGGCAGCAAATAAATTTAAATGAATATCAGTTATTGATTCATTAAATAGATGATTCGACATTTGAAAAATGGAATTCCATTTACAAAATCTATTCTTCCAAATTTGAACGGAGGTATTCAAATCCAACGTATTTGTTTTGGTTCCTAATGCTAATCCGATCTCTCCGAGAACAATACGGAATTTGTAATAATGCAATTCATAAGCTGTGAAAATAATGGAATGAATTCAATAGTGGAACAAATTGCATTGAACTTTAATCTGGTAAATTACAATGCTTTAAATTAAAACATTAAAATGTTTACTCGTTGTATTGAGAAAATAACTTCGGTATTTGTATGTATAATGATCTCATGAGTTAACTCATTCATTCCGTTTAATTCATGTAAATGGAAAATTTAACCAAAGAAACCATATCTACGTGAAATATTTAACACGATATCGTATTATGAAAAAGGAAATTAGAGTAAAAACGATTCGACGTGGTTATATTAACGAAAAATTTAGAGATTACATATTTTTTTGAAAATAGTGTGTTTATTTGTTTAATGTAACGTTCTCAAATAAAAGTATTTTAAATGAAAAAAAAACCTTTAAGAGAATTTAAATTGTAAAAATAAAAGAAGTATAAAATTAAATTTAACATAATCGAGGTGAGAATTCATGATTCTTTTAGCAACTAAAATGTTATTTTGCGTGCTAAAAGCAGAACAATATAAATTATAATAAAACTTACTTAAACTTTTATTTCTAGGCCATTTCTAAAAACTGACGCAAAATAAACTTTGCGTTATTTTTAAATGATATTTTTTAACAAGATTCGAAAATGAAATAAATAATAAAATCAAAATAATTTAGGCTCTTAATTTATTTCTGTTCAAAAATAGCGCCACCTCTATGAGCTAAACATTTACTTGGCAATAGATGTAATTTTGAGTTACGGTAAATTGCCAAAGATATCAGCGTGAACTAGAATTAAATGATTCA